CTGGGGTAAGACCCTCACTCCTCCAGATGCAGGACTTTTTGCATCTGAAGAAGTGAGGTTCTTACCCAAGAAGGCTTATGCTCCCAATACTTCTGTTAGTCTTAAAGGTGCCACAGGACCCTCTGTTGCTTTTTACAGATTCAGACTAACACGGCTACCCCTCTGATAGGTTTTTTGGTATGGTTTTGGTTTTGTGTTCTCTGTGACACCTGATCCCAGTTGGACGCATAAAATATGAGAGGTTCTGTTTAACTTTTGAATTTCTTAATTCTTTAATGACTACTGGGTGAGCAGATCAGGCATTAATTTGAAGCTGCCCTAACATGCCGTGTTCAGACCCCTGGAGTGAACCCCAGAATTGCAAGTTCATTTGGCAGGCATTTGCATCGCACCATTGTAATCCAAAGATCATGTGCTGTGTGCTGGAGAGGAGCAGGCTTCCCACTCCCCACCCAGAGTGAACCCTAAGCTCTGGGGACCCATCACCGGACTCTGGGACCCCATCGTCGGCGCCCAATAGCTAGTTCAGGTTTGACCATACCTGCATTTCCCCCCACTCTTTTTTATTTGTATGGATTAGAATCAAACTCACCACTTCATCTCTCTCTTCTTTTAGATTGATTTTTGTCAGTATTATGCAAACAGTGCCAAAAATATATTTAAAAGTGGGCCAAATATCTTAGTGTAAGCTCTAGTAGTGGTTGAAGCAACTACTTTTAGGGCTACAATCTGGTGTCTGCTTGGAAGGCCACAGCCATGCAGTTCAGCCGTGGGTTCCATAGAGATCTACATCTCTACAGAATCACTCTCTATCCTGTTTCCGGTCTAAGGTGAGGAGATCCATGTCAGGGAGGCAGTGAGCATTTGCAGTATCTCCGTGACTCAGTGCAGGGAGTCTGGTTCTACCACAGATAGTTTTATGAGCTGTGCAGCCTCAACTGCTGACAGCTCAGGGCCATTGAAGAATAATTCTGAATGATTAAGAGATTATGTGAAAAAATGCAACCTCCTCAAGGATATTGACCCCCAGTAGGATATTTTTGGTCTCTCTGTCTCTCTTCCTTCTATGGTAGTGATTTGGGGGTGGGGTGGGGTCCCTGTTAAAGTAACTCTCATGGCTCCAGGGGGGTTAGATGGAAGGACCAAAATGAGTGCAGAGTTGTTTGGGGATAGGCTCACTACCCCCTCAAGTTCTGCACCTCATTCCTCTGAAGCAGCTGTTCATCCCCTTCCCCCATTGCAAGGCTGGTGTAGAGCCTAACTGACAGTGTCAGAGTTCTTGGAGTATAAAAATAACGGCTTTGCAGGAATGTTGAGGCCTAATGTTGAGAGGCTTGGATTGGTGCTCTAATACGTTTTAGAAAGTGGTTGTGTTTTAGAGTCTTCCTCAACACTTCTTATTCAGGCTCCCTTGAAGTGAAGATAAGCACTAAACTGATGCAAGGGGAAAGGTACATTTAGAATGAGTTTGGGCTAGATTCTTCACTAGTGTAAACCAGAGCAGTTCCATTGACTCCAAGCGGAGCTACAACAATGTACTGGAGCAGGAGAACTTGTCCTTTATGTCAGCCTTCTCCTAAATGATGCCCTGATTAATAAGAATCCAGAAGTAGTGGCATTGTCTGAGGGCACTAGCTTCTTATTTATAAGGAGGAAAATCCAGCAATGAGCCCTTTGGATGTACCATGAATGAAATTTTTTCTCACAATATGGACGTTTATGACTGTATCGCTGGAGGAAAAATCATCCTTGTAAAAATTTTAAATTCAACATACAGGAAGGATGTATTGGAGAAGTAATGTTTTTTTTTCCTTCTTTGTTTTTTGCTTAAGATTTCCTCAAGTACATCCCATTCAGGCCCTCCTGACTTAACAAAGCAGTGTGGGATGTCAGCGTTGTTTCAGTTGGCAGAGGTAATATTAAAATAGTGGTGATTAATTACCACTGGTGCAGTGGGGAGGAGACGCTAATAATGCTGATTGCCCAAGTCTGGCAGTCAGAACAGTGGCACAGTCATAATTTATGCTTCTATAAACAACAATACTAATTATCACTGGGGTGCCAAGAGTCAAGATTTCCCCAGACTAGCCATTAAAGCACAGGCTCTTAATGCTACTGAGTTAACAGTTAAAAAGTCAGAACCTATGATGGCAAAGGACTTATCTGATTTGTATTCAAATTATTTTAAATGAACACTTCTGGGGTTTTATTCAAATCAGGGCATTGTCATTTCAAATATGTTTTAGAATGCTTCAGTCACTTCCATTTATTTCCACTCATGCAGATTGTTATTTTAAAGTGATGAATACATGTATGACTTCTGGAGGAACTTTGTTCTGATACGTTGCAGCTGACATCAGACTGTCCTTCTGGGAGTAGTTACAGTGTGGAAACATTTAAAGTTCTCTTTTTTCCAAATCGTAAGACCACATGCCATGAGTTAGTTTATAGCCTCCAACACCCAAAGCCCCTTTCATAGCCATGCAGCTAAAGCAGTCCAAAGTCTTTTCTGCTGGTTATGTTACAAGCTTTAGAAGAAAAGGTATGGAGCAGAGAAGAAGGGTTAAAAATGGAGTTGCTGTCACATGAACAGGATATTTTAAAGATTGAGATTTTTCAAGCCTCTTAGGGAACTTGGAAAATGTCAGTTTATTTAAATAAACAGACTATGAGAGATTATTATCAGGATTTTTTTAGATACTTTCTTATAGCCAAATCTGAACTCATGAGATAAGTTTTCTTCGACAAAAGTAATAATAATAAAAAGAATCATGTCACCCAAATAGGGTGACCAGATAGCAAGTATGAAAAATCGGGACAGAGGTCGGGGGTAATAGATGCCAACATAAGAAAAAGCCCCGAATATCGGGACTGTCCCTATAAAATCGGGACATCTGGTCACCATGCACCCAAAGGATCTCTAATTTCTACAGATTTAACTAAAAGGACCTATTGAACTGTAAAGCAGGTAAAATAGGTTATGTGATTTAAAAAGATGTATGAGAAAAAAAATGTTCAGTTTCATAGTGATAGGAGGCCCAGGGGATTTGTAAATTAGTACTAGGTATGGAGACTTCTAGGCCAATGGCTAAAATCCAGCCCAGGTCAGTAGTTATTACCTTCAAGTGGTTCTTTTGGTGACCTCTGTTGAAGGAGTTGGTGGTCATTTGTATGTTTTGGTTTGATTTGTGTTTCTCTTCAAGTTTTGGACATCTTCCCAGAGGAAGTTGGTCTGACACTTGTGGTTACCCCTGTTAGCGGCCTTAGCCCAGAAGCCAAGGCATGGAAACTGTGAAATACCCTGTCAGGTCCTGCACTGATCACATTGTCACTGCTGAGGACCAATGGGAGAACAGTTAAGAGAAGCTTGCACTTAATGCGTCCTTTACAGTAGCTGTTCTGTGGGTCGATAGAGGGATTCAGTCTCCATTACTGGTATCACAGGAAGGTTGGCTCCGAGGTAGGAACACTTTACATTTCTGTGTTGAAGAGGCTTGTGATTTGAGAGGATTTTTCTGTATTATGTAAGAGGAATGTAAAGATTTTGTTTTGGTTTTTTACTTTGTTTTGCCAATTGAATAAAGAAAAAATCATAGTATCAAGAATTGGTTCAATTCTTCATTCACTGACATTTTGAAAGTAGGAACCAGAATTAGAAGGAGGGGGTGGAATAGTTTGTAAGTTACCTGGCTTACTAATGGTGGGTTCTATTGAACTGTACCACTACATTTAGGTACTACACCTCTATCCCGATATAACATTGTCCTCGGGAGCCAAAAAATCTTACCGCGTTATAGGTGAAACCGCGTTATATCGAACTTGCTTTGATCCACAGGAGTGCGCAGCTCCGCCCCTCCCGGGGCGCTGCTTTACCGCGTTATATCCAAATTCGTGTTATATCAGGTTGCGTTATATCAGGGTAGAGGTGTATTTGTGTATTTTCAAAGGATGTCAAGGGCATCTACAGCCTGATTCAGGCGTCTTCCTCAAACCTGGAGATCATACAGCATACTATCCCGAATGGGGGGATGTTTAAAGTTCTGTCCGGAATGTGGGGAGCTGCTTTCCTAAATCAGAGCCTTAGATAAGTGCCCTTTTCTAGTATTTATGTAAATCAAAATAAATAAATTGAATGATCGGGGCATTTAATTGGTGGTGATTGGTTGTTTTAAACTTTTTAGATGTGCCTTGCATCAGAGGCGGTAAAAGTGAAAGAACCTGGGAAGGTGGAAGTGGAAACATCGGTGGATGTGAAAGCAGAAGCTCCAGAGGAAGTGAAGGTGAAAGAATTGGAGAAAGTGAATGTGAAAAACTCACAGGAAGTAAAAGTGGAAGAATCTGAGGTGGTGAAAAATCAAAATGACGAAAAGACAAAAACCGAAGAGTTGGAGAAAGTTACAAAATGCAGTCACTTTACTGATCCGGCAGCAGACAGCAGTACTTTAGAGATAAATAATAGTACCAGTGCAAAGGATCACACATGCCATTCTCAAGAGCTTTCACTTGCTGACTTTAATACCCTGGGGCTGACCAAACCAGAAAAGATCAAAAAGAAAAAGAAAAAAAATAAGCTGGACCGGCACACAAACGAAAAATCGATGCCCAAGAAGGCTTGTAAAAAGAGGCAGTCCTCTGAGTCGGACATTGAAAGCGTCATTTATACTATCGAAGCAGTTGCAAAAGGCGACTGGGGCGCCGAGAGACTCGTCGAAATCCCCCGGAAGAAGGTCCGCCCTGCCTCAAACATGAAGGGAAGTGTGTTGGACACAAAGTCACCAAAGAAAAAAGTGAAATCAAAAGAGAAGAGAGCATCAAAGGAGAAATCCTCGGAGACCACCAAAGAATCAAAGCCTCCCGACTTTCTTAGCATTACAGCCAATACGGAGGCACCTTGTGAGGTACCTGACAACATAAAAGCAGAACCATTGACCCCAACAGAGGATGTGGTACCACACAGTTTACCTGGACAGGTCAAAACAGCAGACAGTGACTGTAATAAAAAGATTGAAACCTGTGGCTCCAGGAAATCAGAGCGATCTTGCAAAGGTGCTCTTTATAAGACTCTGGTGTCAGAGGGCATGCTCACGTCCCTGCGTGCCAATGTGGACAGAGGTAGGTGATTTTTGCTATTTATTTATAGAGGAAGAGAAAAATAAATCAAAAGGTCTTATATTATGTTTGAACAGCATCTCTCTCGGTCTGCCATGAATCAGGTGCGGGCTTGTAACGCAACCAGTGATTTATTTGGTTCAATTAGTAGACATAGTTCCCTCCCCTTTACTGCATATCTGATTGCAAAATATAGTCTTTAAAGCACATTTCACTTTAAAAATACATGTGTTAACAGACCAATCTGCTGGTTTGTGCAGGGCTTGCATTTTTATGTAACCCTGACCAGCTACATTGGAGCATTAGTTGCCTATATGAAGAAATGCTGTTGGTCTCTAGACATAGCTCTGAATCCTTGAAGAGGTAGATGTGTCTCAAACTCCTTTCTGGTGTGCATTCTGGTCTCCAGATAAGGTACACAACCAGAATAATAGAGAAGGGATCTAGAAACAGTATGGAGTTCATTCATTCAGGATAGACGTAGGGAGATTAGCATGTGACATCAGTTTCCAAATTTAGCATCTCTGTTGTTAAAAGTGGATGATAATAATCAGTGAGAGAACCTTGAATTTGAATGGAAAGATGAATTTGGGTTTAAAATATGTGATGTACCTTTTCAGTAGGATGCATTTAAAAGCATTTCTCTGAGCAGCAAATCAAAGATGATAATCTGAATAGCCAAATTGAAGAGAGAACCCTTGAGGTTACTTTTGCTTTAGATTAAATCTGTGAAACCTTTTCTCCTTCATTATACCTCTGCAGATCCTCACTGTAGGGGTCCTGCAGTTTAGCAGAAGGTTCCAAACGTGGGATCTTTTTAGGTAGTAAATATGGGTAAATTTGGTTGCTACCAGGTAACCTTCTTATCCCTTAGGAGCCCAAGTTGGCACAGAACTCATTTTAGAAACATGTGAAGAGTCAGTCAGCAGAAGTTGCACTGTTGAGTGACTCTTGATATACAGGGTCCTTGCAAGTCCAGTGCACTGTGACACAGACTCCATGATGAAAGTAAGAATCTTTTTCCTTTCCTAGGCAAACGAAGCTCAGGAAAAGGCAACTCCTCAGACCATGAAGGATGCTGGAATGAAGAAAACTGGACCTTTTCCCAAAGTGGGATGAGTGGGAGTAAAAAGCTGAAAAAAACTAAGCCAAAGGAAGAATTTGTTCTGGGGTAAGTTGATGTAACTCACGTGAACAGAGTTTTGCACAAGCAGGATTTGTTTCCAATCTATTTTACGCTACATAGGAATGGATTTGGTTGTCATAGTAAAAGTAGATAACTGTGCACATTCCACTTGAAAAAAAGGATAATCTTGTACGTAGGGCACAGGACCGGGAACCAGACCTTCCTGTGTCCAGGTCTGGACTCTGATTCGGTTTAGCTTTAGGCAAGGCGCAGAGATCAAAATTGTCAAAATGGACTCTGATTTTTCAGTGCCACGTTTCAGACACTTGGGGTCTGGTTGTTAAAGGTGCTGAGCACTCCCAACTGCAGTTAAAGCCAATGGGAACAGCTGTTGTTCGTCACCTCTGTAAGTTAGGCCCAAACTGTCTCAAGCTAGATACTCTCAATTAGAGAGCGTGTCTGAAACACTCGGTCCTCACCTCTCTGGGCTTGATTCTGTCGTCTCACTGATTATTAAACCAATCTAATTCCATTGTGATCACTCACGATTTACAGTGATATAAATCAGAATCAAATAATTATTTCCATGTTTCTAAAAGAACAACAGTATTTACCTACCTAAGAGGTGATGTAGAGGGTTAATTTAATTTTCAAAGTACATTAGAAACATTATTTAAAGTTCTAGGTAGGCGCTTCATCAACTGGAAAAAGTGTTAATTTTTACCCCCTGTCAAGGCTGGATCCCCACTTTGAACTTGAGGGTACAAATGTAGGGGCCTGCATGAAAACTTCTAAGCTTAACTACCAGCTTAGCTCTGGTTCTGCTGTCACCATTTCAATTTTTCCCTCCCTGGGAAG